GCCTTCAGCTTGCCTACCCAGCTCCCAGCTCCTGCCACTGGTATCCAGCACAGAGCAGACTGTGGTCTCTGGCCTCTGTCTCTTACCTTCTGTCCTCTGCTCCGCCTAGCCCACCTCTGTCAAGTTCTATGAGTGACTGACAGAAAGCTTGTCTGCAACCATTTGGCAGGTTGGAATTTCCCCTGCTCTGAAAGGAGGCATAACCCTCTGTCCGGCAAATGGCAAATAAGGAACAGGGCAGTGATGCCTGGGAGACTGAAACTAAGATCCATTCCTGGCTGAGCCTTGGCAGAGCCTCGCTCCGATTCTTCCTGTAAGATGCAGGCTTGCAATCCTTCGGAAAGCAATAACTGCTGGTGATCTTCTCTAAAGTCAAAAGAAATGCTTTAAAAACTGAAGTTGCAGAGGACTCTCTCTTTGTTCTTGATACCCACAGCTTTTGCTCTGAGCTCGTAGCTGAGAGTCTCTGAGTCAGAGGCTGAAAGAGTGTTGAAGCCTCATGGTGTCTCTAGAACACAGCTCCACACAGATGCTCAGGGCGCAGCACTGGAAGCAGGCTGTTTGCCCTGTGCCTGAGTCACTGTGTGGGCAAGTGTGTCTGTCAGTCTGTCTGCCTCCTAGAAGTGCGGTGCGGAAGACGACAGAGAGTGTCATGGTAGGGCAGTGTTAGGTGATAGTGAGAGTCCCTTGAGCCCCATATTAGGATTTTGAAAGCTTTACATTTATAACTTTTCTGATTATGTATGTATGTATGTGTGTATGTTTGTGAGGATATGTGTGAGTATGCATTCGTGCTTGTGTGTGTGTGTGTAGGCCAGAGTAGTCAATCCTTAGGCTGATTCCAACACTGATGCTTGAGATTAGGTCTCTCATTGGCCTGGAACTTGACATCTGGGCTAAACTGATTGTCTAGTGAGCCCCAGGGATCCCAGCGATCCACTCATCTGCATCTGTCCCAGCACGGGGATTGCAAGTGTACACAACACAGCTGGCTTTAATACACACACACACACATATACATACACACACATATTTATTTATTCTCTGGGTATCTCAGGTTTCATGGCAAGCACTTAACTGACTGAGCCGTCTCTCCAGCCCGACAAGTTTGTAATTAATAATACTTCGGTTGCTTCCCTCTAAGTCACAAGAAACAGCCTGCACCCTAAGCTACCCACATGGAGGTTTCCTTAACAGCAAAGCTAGTGGTGTCTGCAGGTGCAGCTGTTAGAACACAGCAAGGTGTGCAGATAGATTTTTCCACTTACAGGAAGCACATCTCCGTCACATGCCGATTATGAGAGAACATAAGCTTCCACCACCACTAGTGACAACCACTGGTCTCTGAAGAAACATGGAGTCCATGACTTCAGGTTCTCTGAATGTTCTCTGAACTCGTAGCTGAGGGTCTCTGAGTCAGGGGCTGAAAGAGTGTTGAGTTAAAGCCTCATGGTGTCTCTAGAACACAGCTCCACACAGATGCTCAGGGCGCAGCACTGGAAGCAGGCTGTTTGCCTTGTGCCTGAGTCACTGTGTGGGCAAGTGTGTCTGTCAGTCTGTCTGCCTCCTAGGAGTGCGGTGGGGAAGACGACATGGGGAGTCCATGACTTCAGGTTCCCTGAATGTTTGGTGCTACTCTGGTGTTTCTTGGTGTTCCTCACTCTGTAAGGAGCAGGCATGGAATCTGAGCAATGCCCATCCTGAGATGGATGTAGCAGAACTCCAGTGAGCCTGAGCACTGGTAAAGCTAATTACCGTGTCACTTAGAACCTGCTGGCCAGTGCACTTTGTTTCTGATCCTGCAACAACTTGGGCTTTAGTGATTGCTTCTCAGTAAAGCATAATGCCATCTGCTCAGGGTCCTGAAGCACAGGGAATTCACATCAGCAGTGGTAGAGCAAGGGTTTGAACCCAGATGTGTACAACTGCACCACACTGACTAGTTGTACAGGGGAAGCCATTCTTAAGGGCATTGTGAGTTTATTTGCCTGGGGGGTTGATTTCAATAGTTGTTTGTTCTTCAGGCCAAGTGAGGGAAAACCCTGCTCATAGCCACTTACACACATTGATGTTGGGCTCCCTCATGAGATGTTGCAGACCTTGAGATCCAGTCTGGTAATTCTCCAACCCTTTAGTGTCCCTTGGGGGTGACTGAGGAGGAGCACCTTGCTGCATGGTGTAGCTTTTATTTTACCATCAGTTTTATATATATGGGCGTATACCATGGTGCATTGATACATACATCAGTGGTGAGATTTTTACTAAACCTGACCTGTGACCATTTCCATCTCCCCAAAGCTATCTTTGACCAGAGGTGAGAGCTGAGGTCTTCTATTAGAAGATTTTAAGGACACAGCTTAGCACTTCTACAACCTGAGTTAATCCCCAGGCTGTACAGAAGACACCCCCCCAATCTCGTTACTGTATCTAACAAACAAGTCTGTGTCCTTTGACCTGTTCTTCTAATTCCCCACTTCCTGCCTCCTATTCTGTTTCTATGAATGAATGAATATATATGTATATATATTTTTTCCATATACTGGTGAGTTCACAACCATGCAGAGTTTTCTGTCTCTGGTGTATTACATTTAGCATAATACCCGTGGTGGTATTATGTTTTTGTAAATGGCAGAGTTTTCCCTTTTAAAGTCTGAGTGATATCCTGTGGTATGTATCACATTTCTTTTATCTGTTCATCTGTTAGTAGACAGTCTCTTCCTATACCTTTGCCTACAGAAGGGTCTCCCCTAATGTACAGCGCTCACAGAAACGTAGGCATTGGCATCCCTTGGGCAGACATTTGGGCCTGCTAGCCCTGGAGGGCACTGGGTACCCTTCCAACTAGCCTCACAAGAACCAGTGCCAAGACAATGACATGGCGGATGGACTACACAAACGAGGAGCCCATTCCGTTGCATCCCTGGTGTTCTCAGAGGTGTGAACATTGTGGCTTCCCTTTCTCTGTCCTTCCCCAGTCACCAGCAATCCTTGGCGGCCATCTTACTTACTCCTGAGCACCTGTGGAGGCCAGTCTGGACAGGGCCTTTTGTGTGCATGGGATCACTGTGCATGGTGTGGGCAGGGCAGAGGAGGGTATGTGCCAGCCCAGGGAACACCCCCAGGCAGTAGAGAGCTCCTCATTATTAAAGCCAGAACTCAGACTCCAATTTTTCCAGTGCCTACCTGGTGGATCCTCTCATCATTTCACTGCGCACACCTTGGGCATCAGATCCTCCTCTGGATCCTTCTCTGCACACACTCTATTCCAGGTGGGCTTCCTGCCACAGTCCTCACTTCCTAGAGGATGCTGCTTCCAGTGTCCCCCTCACTCTCCCTGCCCTGGAAGGAGTTGCTTTGGCTCCTGCTTCTCTGCGGTCTATCTCTACTGTTCTGCTTTCTACTAGGACCCCAACTACCCTTCCTTCCAACCATCCAGGAGTGGCAGTAGCCTGCTGTTTTAACCTTGAAGCTTCCAGTCGCCTTTGCCATTTCTCTTCTTCCTCATTGAGCTCCGATGATGCTCAGGTCCTGCCCAGCCCCACTGAACCACTATTACAGGGTAGGGTGTCCCTGAACCTTAGCAGCATCAGGACTCAGTCACTCCAGCTTTCACAAGGATGCTGAGATGAGAAGGACTAGCTTGGGATCTTGGGTGCTGCGTCACTCTGCCCGAGTTCAGTTCTGTACCTATGTTTAGCAAGCCTCAGCTCCTTCTCATTCACTTACGACTCCTCTTAGCCTGTCTCCACATCTGCAAGAGTTCTGGAAAGATCTACACTGCACCATTCTTTTCAGGATTAGAGATAGGGGTGCATCTTGAGACACCTCCACCAGGTACCCATCTTGTCATCCAGCTTGAGGAGCATACACTAAAAGGTGTACTCCCATATGCTCCCTGAAAACTTTGGCCAATTTGAGGTGTGGTGCATAGTGCCAGGGAGGTTCTACACTAGGCAGAATATTTGGTTACTCCTAGGAAGGGTCACAAACGTTGACTCACTTTTGGATTTGTGTGTCTTGGTTTTTAGCCTTTTTAATGGTTTCTGAGGTGTGGTCTGAATGCCAGGCATTGGTAGACTGCAGTTTGGTTGTTTCCTGAAGAGTGTTTGAGTTACAAAGTGTTTAGTTCTGAGTGCTGAAGAGAGAAGACTCCTTTGTGGCATGAGATGGGTAAGCAGGAAGCTCTACTGAAACTATCCAATGTCAGAGATGTAGACAGATCTATATCTGCAGCCCAGGCATGATCTCAGGGTAGGAGGCTAGAAGACACGCTCTTCCCCTAACATCACACAATGCAGCCCAGAAAACCCGTAACCATTCTCAGGAGCAAAGTAGGATGGAGGAGGAGACCGGGGCTTACTGAGGGTTCAGTGACTTGTTTAAGGTCACACAAGAGTGTTGACAGAAGAAAGCCTAGGGCTTCAGGCTTTGAATTCTTGTTCCCATTGCTCCAGCAGCATCTGTGTGGGGGTGGCCAAGGTTAAGTTTGCAAACAGAAGTAGGAGAAACCCTACATGCTTGTCACTGGCCAAACCCCAGCAGGACATGAGGGTGAGGTAAGACCACAGACCCCCAATTTAAATAGTTCCAGGAGACTGCTTTGGTAACAGAAGCAGATTTGGCACCACTGTGCCATTGGGTAAAGATTTTGTCCATAAATATCCTAATTTTATTTATGAGGTTGTCTGGCATATAATAGCATACATTATTAATAGAGTAGCTTAATACTATCTACAAAACAGGCGTGCGCTTCTCATTGTAAGATGAGCCTCTTTTACTATGTACTGTACAACTCACGGCATTCGTGCTCAGAATATCCTAGCAGGCTTCCACTGACCTTCCATGGAAATATGGACTGTCACTGGCCTGTGCCTTAATCTGGTGTTCCGACTGTAAGTACATCCTGAAGTAGTTGCAGTTGGCCATGCCTGTATTGTGTCTGCATGACTCCTGCCTGGAGCCTGTGGTACTGAAACTCTTATTCTCCCCAACTGCCCAAGTTTGTCCACTACCTCCTATGGTAAGTCACGGAGATTTCATCTGCCACCCGAGGCCTTGTGAGCGCTACAACCATGGAACTGTGGTGGAGTTCTACTGTGATCCTGGCTACAGCCTCACCAGTGACTACAAGTACATCACCTGCCAGTATGGAGAGTGGTTTCCTTCTTACCAAGTCTACTGCATCAAATCAGGTGAGAATGGAGGCTGAACCCTTAGGGGAAGCTGATCCTCTGGGGGCTGCCTTCAAGCTGTGGTCAGACTACGTCCTGAATGGTATCCATTCCCATCCTATCATGAGCTTCCAGGACCAGGCTGTAGAAATTGACCATTATGGGTATAGGTAGCCTCTGTGAAGGGATTTCAGGCCTTTTACAGAGGATCAGAAATACTTAAAAAGTGATTCATAGCCCTGGCATCCATGGAGAAATTCAGCTTCTGCAATTTCTCACAGTCTTGTGCCACCCACTGGCAAGGATGCAGCCCCATAGGTGTAACCAGAAATAGGTACATGGAACCTGAGTTGTACATGACCCTACCCTTCTCTCCAAATAATATTATTGTGGGTAAGAACTGACCTCACACAAGTGGAAACTGTATACTAGCTCAGAGTAAATTATGTAAGATGGCAAGCCATCTTTGCTATCCGTCCCAGCACACCCAGGAAGTGGCCCCATGAAGGAGACCTGGCATCAGCACACACCCTTTCCCTATTCTTCCAACTTCTACCCGCTCTCTCTGGTGTTCTCCAGATCATAGCCATGGCTGCTCCCCCATCTGGCAGTAGTGGTTGGATGCTGCTCTTCTGGATACAGAAGTGTAATGCTGTGTATCTGAAGGCACGAAGATGTCATGTGAACCAGCAAGAGGAGAGGCACTGAGTCTAAGAGAATGTCCACTGAGTGGGATCATGGGATGAGATGTACTAGGAACAAAAGGATGAAAATCTGTTCTGGAAGGGTTGTTCTTGCTTCTCTTGTCTGGCAGATACCACAGAGGGTAGAGTGATGGCTAAGAAGCAGCCATGTATCCTTGGTCTTTAATGACTTTGCATGCTCCATCCTTCACGGAGAACAGTGCTTTGAGCCGTATCAGAACAGGCCCAGAACAGTGCAGGACACCTTTCACTCTCTTCCCAAGAAGCAGTTACATTGTTGCTTTGTCCTGTGCCAGGTTCTCAGGCTCAGCCTGTAGCATGAACATGCATGTCTATAGCCACAGAAGTGTCTACAAGTACATCCCCTATCAATATGTCTCCAACCCAGAAGGACCCATGTTAGAGATGGGTTTTAGTGTCCTGTGGGTCCTAACATGATTTACCAGCTGTACTGGAAGTAGGGTGTGTCTCTTGAATCCCAGGAGGTACCTCATGTACCAGATGACCACCAAAGGAACACGCACCTCATGCCTGGCTCTGTTATCTCTCATGGCAGAACAAACGTGGCCCAGCACACATGAGACCCTCCTGACCACGTGGAAGATCGTGGCGTTCACAGCCACCAGTGTGCTGCTGGTGTTACTACTCGTCATCTTGGCCAGGATGTTCCAGACCAAGTTCAAGGCCCACTTCCCCCCCAGGTCAGTGCAGCAGAGAGCACAGATGAGGGTAGAGCTTAAGGGTCTGGGTAGTTTGCCAGGGAGAAAGCACCATGGTGGAGACAGGCCCCTCAGTCAGTAGAGCATGGGACTCTTAATCCCAGGGTGTGGTTTCATGCCCCATATTGGGCACCAATTTGTTATAGTAAATTTCTAACCCAAATATGCTTGTGCAAAAACACATAACTCATTTATAATATTTATAAGTTATATACCTAGATTGGGCAAATTTACCACTACACTAATCTATTCCCCAGTTATGAGATTACTTGCTACTTGGGGCTTCTCCAGGTCATGTGGTTCTGTTCCATCTTCCTTCTACTTCTTCTTCCTTTCTTGTTCATTACTCTTCCCCCACTCTCTAAAACCTCCAGCCCCACCTTTCCCTTCCACAGCCCAATCACAGGCTCTAGCTTTTATTAGACCAGTTAGAATGGGGTTCACATGAAATCACCTGAGTACGTGATCCACTCCTCCTCGGGGGCAGCCCTTCTTGAGGAAGCAGAATTAACACCAGAATACAAACAGCACCAGGGCAACCCACAACACATCCCTGCCTCCCTGGGCAGATGGTTCTGAAACAGGCACTGTGGGGGACTGGACCTGAACCAGACCAGGGATGCAAGCTGTGTATACCCCATCAGGAGCACCTCCCATCATGGTCCACCTGCACATACCTGGGGAGGACAAGGTCAGGGATGTGACATAGGAGAGGTCAGCCAATTGGATAGGAAGCTTCTGGAAGGAGAGCAGGCCTGAGCGAGAAACCAGAAAAGACCTGGGAAGGGATCTGGGTCTTTGGAGGGTGGCTCTCTTTCCTCCTTAGCTGCACCAGAGGGCCTAGGTTGGTGTTCTCACACCCCAGTCCTCGCACCAGAGCTGTCCTTACAGCTGGGCCTTGTCACCTCATAGCAAAGTCAGTCACCCTCATCCCTGAGTTCCCATCACCATGGAACCTAGTCATCAGAACAAGGAATGTAAGGCTCATGAGAAAAAAACAATTGCTCAGGCCTTCAAGAAGGAGGAACCAACTACTCTGTTTCCTCAAGCACAACTATGTCTCTTTCATGTCCCAGGAGTGTGGAGAAGGACAGAAGTGGCTGCTTCTCCAAGTCTCCACACCTGGACAGCCTCATGTCACTTAGCAGTGCTCCTGATCCTGGCTGCAGAAGCACCATAGGTCAGACCCAGCAGGCACGTGTGCTAGGTGTGTGTGTGTAGGTAGGACACTAATGTCCTCCCCATTCCCAGATGCATGTCGGCACCTCCCTGGTAGGGTAGCATTGCCAAGCCTTTGATGAGGTTCCATAACCTTTCTTTCTTTTTCTTCTCAAACCTTCCATTTGCTCTCTGGGTCCTCAGTATTATTATTTATTAATCAAGGGACCATGTTCTATCACTAGGCAATTACAGTTTCTCAAGAAGGCCAAAGGATCACAAAGAGAAAGCTTGACCACACAGCTGTGATTTATGATGCATTAGCAGACTTTCAAATGGCCCACATGGGGATATGGATATGTATGTGGCTTGGAAGAGTTTTCCAAGATAAAGACTACTAGGGTGTTTTTGAAACCTTCTGAAAGCTCACTTGATGCTCTTACAATATCCTTGAGTTGTTTAGGGGAAATGGTGTCATCGGTCCAAATGGAATACGAGGTACTGAAGGCATGCCAAGGATGGATGGCAGTATTCTCCGGGTCCCAGGTGTTTGAGATCCAAGTATATCAAGGTCACATGGCACAGTTTGAGCTGTACAAAGGGGAATGTAACCAGAGCATGGGTTGTTAGGGAGAGAAAGGAGACAGAGAGGTACCTGCTCTGGTCTGACATCTTGAAAGCATGGAGCAAGGAGGAAGTCCTGAGTGAGCCAGAAAGGCTAACAGGAGACCACAGACTGGCCAGAGGGGACTGAGCATCCAGACACACTACGAGTGCCAGGTCAGAAGGCTGCTCTCTCTGCTTCCTGCCTCCCACCTTCTAGGGAGCGCAAGCCGCGATCATCTCTTGCCCTCTCTAGTAGCCTCTCTCTGTGGAGCAAAAGGGACAGCCATAACCCCTAAGCTTTGGCAAGATGTTTCAAATAGCCACAGGCTTGAGGCTGTCCCTCTCAGGTTAGTAAACTGCACAGGCTGCTGCCGCCCATCCCCTACAAATGCCATGTCCAGACATTTCATGTGCCCTCCCAGAAGCACTCAGAGTTTTGGGCACTATTACAGAAAAACAGATTACTTCTTCTTCCTACCATTTCGTTCTTGGGTTGCAGCTTCCAGCTTGAGTTCCCCAACAGAAGGAATCAAGCTACTTACCACTCTGGGCTTTTCTGGGGCCAGGAACAGAGCCTGGTGGTCAGATGGATGCAGATGTTGGTGACACCCATCACCTAGGGTCAGGTGCAGCTCTGCATGTTCACAGTGATAACAGGCACAGGGGCCAGGCCAGGAGCTGTGCAGGTTCAGCCTGGTCCATGATGCTGCACTGGGTCTGAGGTGACCATGAACTAGGTAATTGGCATGACACAGTCAGAGATGAAAATGAATAGCTCACCTTTTCTGTTTTCTATTGTGTTTTGTCTACCTCTCTAAAAATGAGTGGTGTGGTTTGGTTTTGTTTTTACAAAGAAGCAGCCTAGTAAGTACAGACTGGCTGTCCTCTCTGCTCACTTAGTGACCGTCCTTCCTTAAGATGGAGATTGACCAACAGAACACCTCTCTGCAGAAACAGAGCAGGCCATGCTGCATACCAAGTCTGCCAGGGACTTGGGAGGAGAGGCTGTTTCTCCTCACTGCCTCATTCCTGGGGTGGTGTAGACCCTGATGTGTTTCCATTGTTTCCTCTGCACAGGGGTCCTCCCAGGAGTTCCAGCAGTGACCCTGACTTCGTGGTAGTGGATGGAGTGCCCGTCATGCTCCCGACCTATGATGAGGCTGTGAATGGTAGCTCGAGTGCCTTAGGCCCCGGGTACCTGGCCTCCGTGGGCCAGGGCTGTCCTTTACCTGTGGATGACCAGAGCCCTCCAGCATACCCTGGCTCCGGGGACACGGACACAGGCCCTGGGGAGTCAGAAACCTGTGACAGTACCTCGGGCTCCTCTGAGATGCTCCAGAGTCTATATTCACCCCCCATGTGCCAAGGGGGCAGCCACCCTGCCCCAGACACCCCTGACACAATTTCAAGCGCAGCAGGGGAAGTAGCATCCACAAGCCCCGGCATCGACATTGCAGATGGTAAGCGTTTCCAAAGCTGTGGCTAGCACCCCGGCCCAGGGTCAAGGCCATGGGCCTGCTTCTTACCCAGCTGGCATTGCTTCTCATTCTCTCTAGTTATAGGGCTGCCAACAGGGCCCCCAAAGAGGAACAAGCCATGGAGTTAAAAGCCTGGAGAAGAGACAGCACCTCAATTTTGATGCCAAAGATATGGGGGTGGAGGGTTCCTTCTTGTCCTTTAATTGAATAGGAGGACCTGAAGGTGGTGCTTGGGAACAGAGTCACAGGCAGAGATGTGTACCAAGTCCTAGCACATCTGCCAAAACTGACTTAAAAGAATCTGGTTCTTTAATACTGCTTTGCACACTGGGCCTACCTTCCCACTTTGGGCCCTGAGGAAGGCCAGTGCAGTAGAGAACTGCTGCCAGTCTCACCCGTGGATTGGCACATGCCCACCTTACCCGAGAAGTGCAGTGTGCACAGAAGACACTTTGCTCATGTGCAGCGAGGGTCATCTGTCATGGGGAACATCACAGCTTATGAGAACAGTGAAGTGTGTCTGAGTAATCAAGGCTCTGGTGCCCAGCGAGAGAAGCCCAGCACAGCTCTACAAAGTGTGGCTACAGCAGAAGCAGGGTAGAAACAGAAGGCCTGCTGGCCCTGCAGAGCCTTTCCTGTGCTCCACTCTGCCTCTCTGGGCTTGAGATGGTAAAGTAACATTTTGGTCTAAGCAACTATGAGGGCTTGTGGTGAAAGTTTAACATTATCCTTTTTATGAGCAGGATATAAAATCACAAATTGTTCTCTAGCAGATAGATGGTGTATGGGGCGGGGAGAAGGGACGCTGTTTTATTTGACCTTTAATGGAGGCATGGAACTTAACATTTTCCTTTCTTCACTCATTTCTAGCATGGAGCTGTTTTAATGAGGCTCGTAACTCCAAACCATGTAGCTTTCAGTCAGACTAAGCAAATAACCATCTCTTCCTTTACAGAGATCCCGCTCATGGAAGAGGACGCATAGCCTGGTGACATCCTGCTAATCCCACTGTCCCCTTTGGGGAAAAGAGCCTTGAACCTTGAAGGGAGGCCACAGGAGGCCAGAGCTTGGGACAAGGGGGCATTTTTAATCTATTTACACGATACCATACATCTCCAGCAGGACGGTGGGCCCGGCCGACAGCAATGGCGGCCACAGCAATGGCGGTGCTTTCAAATGAGACTCAATGATGTATCATGACCTGCAGGGAACAGAGGGCAGAGGGGACTCTCTCTGCCTCATGCCCATGACAGAGCTGAGTGTCTCTTGCTACAGGAGACAGTGCCACGCACATCCCGGCGAGTCACATATCCTGTTGCTTCTGTTAACAGCACTCCCTGCTCCTCCGAAAGCATGTCACATGTATAAATTTGCTTCTAAAATCTGCTTTGAACTGTCTACGAACTTTAGATCTAGACAGGTCAGCCTCTGTTTAAAAAGAAAAAAAAAAAGCCCATGTTGACCTGTAAACCCGGGAGCAGATCCTCTCTCTGCCCTTATCAGTAAGGGACAGGCTCCCAAGGAAAGACTCATGTAACACTCAGACCGTCTCTTACCCCTGGACAGCTGATCAAAGCAGGATTCGGCAGTTTGAATGAGAAAGGAAAGGAAAAACAAGCCAACTCCGCTTTCTGGAAGTGTCTTCATGCCGAGCCCCCATGTTCTGTGCTGCCCTCTGGTGACATGTGTCGGTGTTTCTATTCATGGTCTGGCAGTGGACCTGTGGCGTGGGATAGACCTGTGACTTTACACCTGGTGAGAATGCATTCAGATGCATCTTATGGTGGACTGAGTAACCTGGTCCTGTTTGGTTTTGGCACTTGGCAGACTCCACTCACGTTTCTCTGCTTATGCCTTCCCATGTGTCATTGCTGTCATGTTGCCCCCGACCTTAAAACTTAACCATTCTTTTATTTTCCAAAATGGAAAGTTTCTGTAAACATATTCTGTATTTGGAGGAAGAAGAAAGTGTAAGCTGGATCTTTTGTGACCGACCGCAGCCCCTCAGCTCTCTGTTTTGTCCTGCTAAGTCGGAAGGCTTGGCCACCCAGCCCCAGGACACCCTGTTCTCCTGCTTTCAGGGGGCCTTTGGCCCTGCTTGCCTGCCATCCTTCATTTCTATGAGGGTCTCATGGCACCCAGTGGGTGTTGTGCCTAAGCAATCGACTGATTTTTAAAGAACCCCAAGTCCAGAAATGTCCCTTTGCATACATGTTGGTCCACGGCGTCGTTTCCATCCTTCCTCTGGGTTGTAGACAAATATAAACAAAACTCTCATCCATAAAATCACTGTGCTGATGGAACACCGAGGGCCGGAGGCTTGATCAAATCCTGTTTTCTCCCAACACAGACTGATTAAAAATTAAAAAGAAAAGCGCGACAGTTTGAAGTGTGACTTTAACAGTGGAGTGGGGGAGGGGAGGGCGGGAGGTAGGTGATGTTGGTTGTGAGTGACATAAGACCTGGGATTTAGAACACCTAGCCAAGGGAGACACCGTATCAAAAGGGCAGGTTTTATCCTGATGTACGTGCAGCCACCGTTAGTGGCGGAGTGGTGCTGAGCCTGGAGCTTACAGCTGTGGGCAATTGCAGATTGCTTGAGTAACAGCCTCACACTCTCCCTGGTGAAAGCCCGTGTCATCAGCTCCACTTATTCAAAGGAATTGATGTGTGGTGACAAGCCACTGCCTTGACAGCGTGTTCCCTGAGGAACTGGGCCCCCCATGGGCAACATGGACCGGGTAGCCTCAGCTCTGCACTTCGTTCTCACACCTGTTTTCTTCTATGCCTCCAAATTCAGGTCCCAGAGACCTCCGGACAAGAGTCCAATCTTCTACAAGGCACACAGAGCTATCCCAGGCCATCCCTGCCTCTTTCTGGGAATTCTCCAGCAGCAGGATGGCCATCTGATCTGGACACCAAAGACCAGGGTTTAATGGCCCTAGGAAGACAGCAGGGGACATCAGGGAGCTCATGGGCATTGTTCTCATCAGGAGACTGGGGGAGAGGGAGAGCATTGCTGTGTAACCACAGCATCACAATCCCCAAACCAGCTCACCCACACTCAGCCCGATAACACTCAACTCTGTGCTCATAGCATCTTTCCCAGATGTTATTTATGGTTTGTTTTCCCACCCTAGGTACTTCTGACGGAGAAATTTGGTGATGTTCCAAGTATGGTGTGGTCCCAACATAATTCTTTTAAATATTCCAAAGTCCCTGTGGTGCGAGGGAGCAGGTCACCTTCCACAGACCTCCTCAGAAAACAAACAGGGCTATGGAAGAGGGAAGAGTACCAAGACTGGAACTCTCCTCAGACTTGGGTAGTGCCTTCCTCGGAGCTGCATCCAAGCTGTTGCAGAGCAGCCCAGTGCTGGCTGACTGGTTCCCAACATGAGCACAGCACCGGAGTCTTCACACGTCATTACTGTGTAGCTTTTCTTAATTGCAAGGTTGTGATTTGCCTATGTGGATGCTTCAGGCCCTTTCCCACCTAATTACACCCAGTCTAACAGCTGGCACGCAGACAAGGCTGCCTTCTGTTGCTACAGAAATGGTCCCTGGCCACCAGCAGGTCCAAGATTATCAAACGCAAACCCTCCTGGTCCACAGCCCATTAGGTCCAGTGAATTCTCATATTTCGTCCTCCCTCTACACAACAGGTATTCAAATCCGCTCCCACTCAGCCTCAGGCCCTAGCTCTCCAGAGCATCATGGGAGAATGCGAGTTTCATAACCTGCCTCCTCCATGACCACCTGGCTGTGAGCTTGGATCAGTTTCTAGCCTCACTAGCCCTTTGTTTCTTCTTGCAGAAATTTAGAATTTAGAATGGTTTCCCCCTGCATTCATTGCTAGGCTGTGCATGGCTGCTGATGTGAGTCAAGCATTCAGATGCAGAGAGCATTTGAGACATGGCAGCTGCACGTCCTATGTGAAGGGGGAGAGGCTGTCATATAGATTGTCCCCCACATCCATTCTCACACACCTTTGACCAGCCTTGGTCCCTTTGCCCTCTAAGGTAGTTATATATGAGGCTTATAAGGGGCTATCCAAAGGAGAGAGATGAGATAAGCCACATCTGTTCCTGGAATTGTCCTCCCAGGAGCCCATCCCTAGCTCCTGAATACTAAGCTGTTGTGTAAGTGGAAGTTTCAGTCCATGGGCCATCAGATCTCTGTGCCTGTTCCCAGTCCAGGTCATCTCTGCTCACTGAGATCAAGAGAACCTCAAAACCCCTCCACCCCCACAAAGACCCTGAGAATGGACTCGTCTCTACAGGCAGCCCTGTAGATTTCCACTAACCTGCTTCCTTCATTTTATTGTCTATTTGGAATTTAAAGCATAAAAGTTAATGCCCGTACATTTCCAAGGTGATAAAGGGGAAAGTGCGCAGATAGAGACACCCAGTCTGGCAAGCAGAACAAGGTCCCAGAGAGTGTTTGTCACTTGTAAGGAGGACGAACCTTGAGCATACTGGCCCTGAAATCATAAAACTTAACGTACAGTGTGTATGTCAGTGTGTGTGATTAACTGACATATTGGGCAATGTACCACCCCACACTGATGTACCACCCCACACTGGGTGAGAAACCAGTCCCTGAGTAACTGCCATTTATCATTCTGAGTGACCAAAGAGGAGATTGGCTACCTGAAAGCAAACCAGAAGTATACTGAGAACCTCTGAGAGGCTTGGCCTCTGAGAGGCTGCTAGTCTCAGGAGGCCTGGCCTCTGCTCCTCTGAGGTCAGTGAAGAAAGAATTCTAGCAGGTGAAGTTTGGGAAGGGCCATACAACGGAGCCCAAAGGAACAGACTAATATCTGCCTGGAGGCCCGAAGGAACAGACTAATATCTGCCTGGAGGCCTACATGTAGGCCACCCATCTCCCTGGTTGGTGAGGGCCACTCCACAAGGGCTTGGGGCTGTGCTAATAGTAGGTGGCCTTGGAGGAGGGGAAAGCTATTGGAAGTCTTGGAGCCAGGATATAACCAGGGTGAGATGGAGCAAGGTGAGCTGGGCTGAGGGCTATTTTGAAGGCAAATTCAGTTTAGATGAGCATGGGCCTCAGAAAGGTATGGAGGGCAGGCCGCTCCAAGTCCCAGGTTCCTCAGCCATACCGTGAGAGAACTAAGCCTGTCTTAAAGAAGCTCCAGTAGTAATCTTCTCGGTGTTTATTGTTGTTGGTTGGTTGTTTTGTTTTTAATCAAGAATCAAATATTGCCCAACTCTGTCTGTTCTCCAGTCTCTTTCAGCAACTGGCCGCTCCTGTTAGTCCTCAACCCCACCCCAACCCCCACACGAACTTTAGAATGACATTCAGGTTAGCTCCTTCTCCTTGGAGCACCTCAGCTCAGGGGCAACATATCCCAATGCCCTTCCCTCCACCCCAAGAAAAGGGTCTAAGAACAGTTGCCTTCATTTTGGGCAAGGGTGGGTGTCAAGAGATAACATCCTTTTGATGTTCTGGTCTCTCATGGCCCTTCTGTAGACCCCATTGCAGTTGGCTTTGGCCAGAGGTCCAGATACTGACAGTGACTCTGTGGGGTCCATTCTAGTGTAAGAACTTAGAACAACAGAAACCTAAATAGGTCTATTGGCTTGATGGAGTCCACAGATTCTTTATAGCTACATGGCGTTTATAGCCTTAGAGAATGTGTTCATCTCTTTAGAAGCCTGTTTTCCTGTCTGTTTTGGTGTCAGAAAGCCACCCTTGTACATAAGGCTGTGTTCCTATGACTGCTGATGCAGAGGTGCTGATGATGTTCTGGGCCTGATCAAGACATCTACCCTTGCATCCCCATTTTCTCGTTCGTGTGTGTGTGTGTGTGTGTGTGTGTGTGTGTGTGTGTGTGTGTAGCCATCCCAAACCTCACACATACTAAATGAGAACTCTACCACTGAGCTATATCTCTGGACCTCCTAGGTCTTGAACTCACTCTAGGAAGGCTTTGAATTTGGAGTCCTCCAGCTTCAACCTCTAGGGTCATTGGGATTACAGGCCTGTATGCCCAGGCCAAACTTTTTAATAGACATTCTTTTTTAGAACAGATCTAGACATATTCTTTAAAAAATGCCCCAAAAGTAGAGTTCCTTAGTCTGGGCTTCCCCTATTAATACCCTGCATGGGTGGGGTACAGTTGCTAATTAATCAGCTTATAATTGGTACAAGGCTGACCAAACTCTGTAACTTAAGGTTGGTATTGTCTCTTTGTGTTCTGCAGTCTACATATTTTCACATGTGTGATGGCATGTGTCCACTGGATCATAACACACAGAATCATTTCACTGTCTCAAGCCTTCTCTGTGCTAAGCCGATTTGTCACCCTCCCCCCCTCCCCCACACACATACTGACAGCCACTTATCCTTTCGATATCTTTTAGTTTTGCATATTCCAGAAGGTTGAAAATCAGTACTTAAGCTTTCCAGCCTAGCTTCCTTCATTTGGTCATGCACATTTAAGTTTTCTTCATTTCTTTCAAAAGAACAAGAGAGCAGCCCAATTTTTAGACTTCAGAGTCTGTTCTGAAAGACTTACTAGCTCTAGGAAAATTCTGGAGTCTCACCATGACTCCAGGCCATCCAAGGGGTTTAGGAGATGAAACTCCACAGGCCCTTCGGCACCCCAGGCTTGTGTGGAAGACACTTGTTTCCTATCCCCACCCCAGTTGGTCTTGGGTTGACTATTCTTCATGATCGCCCTGTACACCTCCATTATTCCTCCTCTTTATGGCCTCAGGTCCTCTCTTCCCCTCATACTTCAGACTTTCCTAAATCCCTGCTGATCTTCTTGTCAACATTCATCAATACCTATGCCTTGTCACTCTGTTTGATTCTGGGGGTTCATAATGGATGTGATGGGTCCAGAAGAGATGCAGACATGAACAACCAGAATCAGGAGCCGTGATAAGTACTGGGTGTCTGGTGAGAACATTGGAGAGGCCGCTACTCCCACCCTGGAGCGGGGAAAGCTGTCCAAAGAAAGAGGCAGCTGAGCCACTCAACACAAAGTGTCAGCTTTTTGGGGTACACATTAGTCGTTTTCCTTTTTAACTCTTTTCAATGAGGCCTTATTGTATGACCCAGGCTGACCTTTGAACTCATAACCCTTCCTTTGTTTCTAATGCTAGGATTACAGGTGTGCACTACCACCCATGGCTGCATCAGCCCCTTTTTCAACCTTACTAGGAGAATCTCAGAGCTGATTGAGACTCTGTGGCTCAGCTATGTGCTAACCATCACACTGTCATGGAGATATAGCTCAGTGTGTTTTCAACTGTGAAATATGGAAAGATATTAGGACCTGTTTCATATAGCCACTAAGAGGAACTCAATTAGCTGATTCATGTAATGTGATTAGAACCACATTTGGTACGGGT